TATATAAAATAATTTAACAATCTCTTGCACTAACAACATCATCAAAATAAACACAATTTTACTTAATTCCCTCACTATCAATCCCCTCCATCCTACCTCTGAAAATAAACGGGCCTATAAACCATTGGACAGGCCATTAGGCCCATATATACACCTCTAGCTATACCATCCCATCCCAGAAGAAAATTACTCGTGTGTTTGGTTTGAGTTTTCTAGATTAATTTTTTTTCAATTGAATTTTTTTTTTTCGTATTTTTTTGTTTTTAGTGAATATTTTTAAAATTTTAAACATTTTTTTAGTTTTTTAGATGCACCTTACTTAGATGTTACTAAAACATAAAAAATTTATGAAAAATATTTTTAAAAAATTAATAAATATATAAAAATATAAAAAAATGTACTGAATTCTCGTTTTTTTTTGTATTTTTGGTATTTAGTAAATTTTAAAAGGTTTTTTTCATAAATTTTTTACTTTTTAGGTATATTTATGTTAGGTATATCTAAAAATTTTAAAAATTGCTTAAAAAATTAAAAAAATCCATTAAGAACAAAAAAAATACGAAAAATAAGAAAATAGAATTTTTTGAAAACTATTTTCAGAAAAAGAAACCAAACAAGCTGACTGGGAATGAATCTGGATGAACTCAAGGTGCGGTAGGAAATTATTTTTAATAATTGGTTTACCATTTCAAAATTAAACCCATCATATTCCATAAGAGTTAGCTCAATTGGGCAGTATACATAAAATTGGGCATTTAAAAATAATTGCTTAATTCCCATAGTTTAGATTTAAATTTGATGGGGGCATGAATTGCACTGCATAGGAGAATGGATTTCATAGCTTATTTTCTGACATTCTGTTTGACTTAGTTTTGTGTAAATATTTTTTTTTTTTTTTGTTTTGTTTTTGTGTTTTTCATTTTTTTTTTTTTTTTTGGTATTTAGTAAATTTTTTCATTTTTATTTTTATATCACTTAATCTAGAGCACTTAAAAGTAAAATATTTGTTAAGAAAAATCATCAAAAAAAAAATACTATATATATGTGTGTGCGCGCTCTCCTTTTTTCTTTTCTTTTTTTGTATTTTTCCATATAAATATTTTACTTTTTAAGGCATTTAGATTAAATAGATTTAAAAAATAAAAAATAATTTATTAAAAAACGCTAAATACAAAAAATTAAAAAATATTTTTTGAGCTTCAAAATTAAACCGAGTTATTTAGTTCTATAGAAGACTGACTTTAGTGTGAATAAGGGCAATCCATGTTCTGCCTTCCCTTATCTTTGGAACTCAATTAGCCAATGTTTGGATTCTTCATTCTTCCGCTAGCTTGAAACATCATGTTTTGTTAGTAACTGTCACCAAATATAGATCAGCAGCAAATGAAACACAAAATATTACACATCATTTATTTATCAAAACTATTAGTACATCGTTACAACACACTTAATATAAAGGCAAGAAAGAGAACTCCATGCAGAGAAAATACATTGTAGAAAAGGGTAGTCATAATAGTAGTCCTAGTAATCACTCTTCTTAAAATATGATTATCACAAAGTCTATGAACCCAGAAAGAAAAGCCAGACTGATAGTAAACTTTGGGTAATTTTCTACTTTATTTTCTGGGTATGTAGACCTGTTAATAGCTTAGTCAGTACAACAACGATACATGACGAACTTATCCATAGGACGGCCACATTCAGCACAAAACAACCTTCTCAGGGATGCTTCCGGTGGTGCCAGGCAAGATCAGACGGTTGCAGTGATATGGGGTGTGAAGTTTTTCAAGGTTATCAATGAGTGCATTCACAAAACCAACGTCATTAGCATGATCCTTCCAATCTTCATATTTGGTCAAGCTAGTCAATATGGTGTCACCTTTGGCTTTAGCGATCTCAGCCGTGCCGTGACTAATCACAGCGCCATCCTTGCTCACTTCCATCAAAGCTCAGAATTGTCATGATCTCTTGCATTATGGAATCATCTCTACAGATTTACCGTGTTGCATCTTGGAGTGCCACATGCTTTCAACCTCACCCAAAAGAACCATATGAGAGTTGGTCTGACAATATGTGGCTGAGTTTCTCACCCAAGATAGTGTTGCTGATCTTTTCGAACTTTTTCCTTGGGTTGCTTTTTCCTACATACAACATCTCCAATGTGATGCCGGCTGCTTTTGCAACATCTTTTGCTGTGTTCGTAAATTTTCGATCCACTCAAGGTCCTCTCCTCCATACAAGCAAATGTATTTTCTATCACAATCTGAATTAACCAACAAAATAAACTCAAGTCACAGAAATCTCATTACAGTCGCATCATTTTATATACTTTATTTGTGTATCACTACTATTTTAATAATTGATAGTGCCAATCTTTCCAAATTCCCAATGTTGGTATGTCAAAACTTGATAATGAGAAATGACAAACACTAGAGTCAATTAGAAGAATAGTCATTACCCAATTAACAATGGATTGATCAATGGAATCTGCCAATAACTCAATTGACCAAGTTGTCTCTTTCCAAAGTGCTTCCTCCTTCAAGCTAGTAAATGGAAAAGCCATACTTCCCAAATCCACATCATATGATTGCATTAGGATTCACAACTTTGCCTTGTTGGTCTAACACCACAAGCAGAGCTTCTTGTTGAAGTGCCAGACCTCTTTAATGTACTTGATGACTGCTGGATCAAGCAGTGAAGGGTGGTACAACGAGAACCAGGGCATCGAAGCTTTGCACATAAAAAAATATATGATGATTGGATAATGTTACAAGTTGCGAACGAAACGGGGCGGTGAGTTTGAAACACACTTTCAATGCCGGCCCATATTGTAATTAGGCTTAAAAAGGTTGTCCAACGCAGCCCCTATGAACCTAAGCTATAGTCCCAAACCCTATGGCCCGTTTGTTTTGGGACATGAGAGGGGGATTGAGATTGGGACACTATGAGTCTCATTTAATGTGTTGTTTGTTTACAGAGTTGAGGAAGGGATTGCTAAGTCGAAGGGTTTAGAATAAGCCTTGTAGATGGAATTCGGATGGGCTTCCAGAAGCATGGCATTAGAAAAATAGTCCGGTAGACTAGAAATTTTTTAATTTTTAGTTATTTTATGTATTTTTTACATGTCGGGTATTTTTTTTTAACATTAATGTTTAATTTTTTGTATTTTTTGTTAAGTAAAAATCATTATTTTATTTATTTATTTTTTTCTGAAAATTTTTTATTTTATTTTTTATTTTTTTACATATTGGCATTTTTTTAAAACGTTAATGTTTAATGATTTTGTATTTTTTTATTTGTTTTATATTTATATAAAAATAATTTAACAATCTCTACACTAACAACTATCATCAAAACAATACAATTTTAGTTAATCCTCTCACTATCATCCCCTCCATCCTACCTCTGAAAATAAACGGGCCTATAAACCATTGGACAGGCCATTAGGCCCATTATACACCTCTAGCTATACCATCCCATCCTAGAAAGAAAAATTACTCAGTGTGTTTGGTTTGAGTTTTCTGAATTAAGTTTTTTTGAAAATTGAATTTTTATTTTTTGCATTTTTTGTTTTTAGTGAATATTTTTAAAATTTTAAACATTTTTTTAGTTTTTTAGATGCACCTTACTTAGATGTATCTAAAATATAAAAAATTGTGACATATTTATGAAAAAATATTTTAAAAAATTAATAAATATATAAAAATATAAAAAAATGTACTGAATTCTCGTTTTTTTTTTTGTATTTTTGGTATTTAGTAAATTTTTAAAAGGTTTTTTTCATAAATTTTTTACTTTTTAGGTATATTTATGTTAGGTATATCTAAAAATTTTAAAAATTGCTTAAAATATTAAAAAAATCCATTAAGAACAAAAAAATACGAAAAATAAGAAAATAGAATTTTTTGAAAACTATTTTCAGAAAAAAGAAACCAAACAAGCTGACTGGGAATGAATCTGGATGAACTCAAGGTGCGGTAGGAAATTATTTTTTAATAATTGGTTTACCATTTCAAAATTAAACCCATCATATTCCATAAAGAGTTAGCTCAATTGGGCAGTATACATAAAATTGGCATTTAAAAATAATTGCTTAATTCCCTATAGTTTAGATTTAAATTTGATGGGGGCATGAATTGCAACTGCATAGGACGAATGCGATTTTCATAGCTTATTTTCTGACATTCTGTTTGACTTAGTTTTTGTGTAAATATTTTTTTGTTTTTGTTTTTGTTTTTGTTTTTTGTGTTTTTCATTTTTTTTTTTTTTTTTTGGTATTTAGTAAATTTTTTCATTTTATTTTTTATATCCACTTAATCTAGAAGCACTTAAAAAGTAAAATATTTGTTAAGAAAAATCATCAAAAAAAAAAATACTATATATATGTGTGTGCGCGCTCTCCTTTTTTCTTTTTCTTTTTTTGTATTTTTTCCATATAAATATTTTACTTTTTAAGTGCATTTAGATTAAATAGATTTAAAAAATAAAAATAATTAATTATTAAAAAACGCTAAATACAAAAAATTAAAAAATATTTTTTGAGCTTCAAAATTAAACCGAGTTATTTAGTTCTATAGAAGACTGACTTTAGTGTGAATAAGGGACATCCATGTTCTGCCTTCCCTTATCTGTGGAACTCAATTAGCCAATGTTTGGATTCTTCATTCTTCCGCTAGCTTGAACATCATGTTTTGTTAGTAACTGTCACCAAATATAGATCAGCAGCAAATGAAACACAAAATATTACACATCATTTATTTATCAAAACTATTAGTACATCATTACAACACACTTAATATAAAGGCAAGAAAGAGAACTCCATGCAGAGAAAATACATTGTAGAAAAGGGTAGTCATAATAGTAGTCCTAGTAATCACTCTTCTTAAAATATGATTATCACAAAGTCTATGAACCCAGAAAGAAAAGCCAGACTGATAGTAAACTTTGGGTAATTTTCTACTTTATTTTCTGGGTATGTAGACCTGTTTAATAGCTTAGTCAGTACAACAACGATACATGACGAACTTATCCATAGGACGGCCACATTCAGCACAAACAACCTTCTCAGGGATGCTTCCGGTGGTGCCAGGCAAGATCAGACGGTTGCAGTGATATGGGGTGTGAAGTTTTTCAAGGTTATCAATGAGTGCATTCACAAAACCAACGTCATTAGCATGATCCTTCCAATCTTCATATTTGGTCAAGCTAGTCAATATGGTGTCACCTTTGGCTTTAGCGATCTCAGCCGTGCCGTGACTAATCACAGCCCATCCTTGCTCACTTCCATCAAAGCTCAGAATTGTCATGATCTCTTGCATTATGGAATCATTCTCTACAGATTTACCGTGTTGCATCTTGGAGTGCCACATGCTTTCTAACCTCACCCAAAAGAACCATATGAGAGTTGGGTCTGACAATATGTGGCTGAGTTTCTCACCCAAGATAGTGTTGCTGATCTTCCGAACTTTTTCCCTTGGGTTGCTTTTTCCTACATACAACATCTCCAATGTGATGCCGGCTGCTTTTGCAACATCTTTTGCTGTGTTCGTAAATTTTCGGATCCACTCAAGGTCCTCTCCTCCATACAAGCAAATGTATTTTCTATCTACAATCTGAATTAACCAACAAAATAAACTCAAGTCACAGAAATCTCATTACAGTCGCATCATTTTATATACTTTATTTGTGTATCACTACTATTTTAATAATTTGATAGTGCCAATCTTTCCAAATTCCCAATGTTGGTATGTCAAAACTTGATAATGAGAAATGACAAACACTAGAGTCAATTAGAAGAATAGTCATTACCCAATTAACAATGGATTGATCAATGGAATCTGCCAATAACTCAATTGACCAAGTTGTCTCTTTCCAAAGTGCTTCCTCCTTCAAGCTAGTAAATGGAAAAGCCATACTTCCCCAAATCCACATCATATGGATTGCATTAGGATTCACAACTTTGCCTTGTTGGTCTAACACCACAAGCAGAGGCTTCTTGTTGAAGTGCCAGACCTCTTTAATGTACTTGATGACTGCTGGATCAAGCAGTGAAGGGTGGTACAACGAGAACCAGGGCATCGAAGCTTGAATGGCCTCAAATTTCTGTTGCTTCGCATCATTCCATGGGATTGTTCTGTCGAGGACTGGGAGCCATACAACCTCATACTGACTCTCTGACCTTGACGGGTTTTGTCGAGACTCAGTGTACATTTGATCGAGTATGAAATGCTCTTCATGGGAGAGGTCCAAGTCTGAAATGAGTAACAACACATTCTTTCTCCTTAGCACATCAATGCTAACCTGCGTTTGTCATACAAAGATCAAACCAATGCGAGAACTTTTAGGGAAGTCATAGATTATGGTTAACTTACAACTTGCATCATCATGATCAAACCAAATGATTGAATAGTGAAACAATTCTTTTAGGGATACAGAAATGAATACAAAACTAGACACAACCCTCTCACATAGATATGGGACTCACAGAAAAGTAAAATCCACCATCATGTGAGAGAATTGTGCTGGAATTTGTTGTTGGTTTCCGTGCTCTTAAAATATTTCATAATGAAAACCTTGAATCACATTCTCATTGTCCTTTTAAGTTATTGAGCTTATATATGGAAAATGGCATAAATGGGCTAAATGAATATAAACAAACCCGTTTCTTAGTAGAACCATCAACAAGTGGCAGTTGATCGTCCTTAGCATAAATCAGAGCTTTGAGGATCTTCATGTTATCGATGTGTGCCATCTCGAAGAGGCGAACAAGCATCTGAAATGCTTCAATATACCTTTTTTCATCTGCAACAAACCAAAATTTACTCTGTATGTCAATTTCATTCCATTTACTATACATACTATCATGCAATACTACAAAATGAAATGTGTTGAGTTGGGTTGGATTGGACTAACCAATGTATTGATAACAAAGAGCCAATTGCTTCTGCAAGTGGCTGTGTATGTTGTTGACCTTATGAGCCAAACTAGAAAGTTCCCATGCCTCTGTAGTTGATGCTATGTACCTGACACCAATGGTAAAATTTATTAATAATGCATGTGTTGTACTCTCTCTAAAGGCACAGATCCTTTGTTTCTCAATTTTTCTGTCTCTAAGTCCCAATGCACATCTAACTATTAGATCATATTTCTAGATTTACTTATTTTGAGACTCACGCATGATTCGATGGTTAATAGGGCATTGGGACAACAAAATAAAGAAATTTGGGATAAAGGATCCTTAACTCTTTCTAAATGTGACTAATTATTTGATAGTCTCAGTATCATCATGACAAGCTGGTATTTTGTAAAAGAATTTACATGTATGTGATAGACAAGAGTACACCATTATAGTGGATTGGTTATACAAAACACGAAGTAAATCATGGGATGGGTAGAGATGAATTGACCCACTTTGGCCAATTGGATGACAGACAAGGTCAGTCAATTCATCTATTTTTGTGCATCTTTGTTGGTCGGAAGCACCATGACACATACACAAGTCACAATGTTCTGAGATTACTGAATAACTTTCTAAGGATTTTGATTTGATTTGTAAGGAGAACGTACTCGTGTCCCATGCCAATAAGGTTCATGATTTGAGAAGCACATGCCACAACACTCCGAATAGTCCAGTAAACGGCGGTGGGGGTGTGAGCGGTGGCGGCTAGCATCTCCGGTGTATCCGGGGTGATGTACTGAGGGGGGAGGTCCTTAAACTGGACAATGCACTTGGTCACATCCAACATTGCCCCGATGAGGTTGATCAGTGCCTCAAACTTCGGTTTCAAAGAGTCAGCACGCTCGAGCATGTCAGGTAGTTGCTTGAGGAGGGCCACAGACTTGGCAAGTGGGTTAGATGGGTAAAGTTGGGCAACAAGCCAGAACTCACCGTAGTTCACAGCAAATGCTGCGAAGGTTATCACAACCTTGGCTTCCCATGAGTAGCTTGACAGTGCGTTGAAAACTGCTAGAGTTGTTGTGTGTGCATCTGAACCCCCTGAACACTTGCACGAGATCTGTTACAGGCATCAGACTACCATTAATTTGGGCCATACAATTTCAAATTTATGGAAGTAAAAGTCCAGTACAAGTGACAGCAGAGTCCAAGTGAAAAATTACACTAGAGCGCATATCAATTTGCACCTCTATGAATTACTTGGAGAATGGCTAAGCAAAATTTGATGATGCCACATCTCACCCCTCATCTTTTGTCCCAACTACTTAATTAATTATTTTGGACAAAGTGAGACATAATGTTCCACCTATTATCTTTACAAAAAAGTGAATCCCGAATAAATGGTAAATAGAATCTCATTTTATTCTAAGTAGTCCATCATTAAATGAGCAGAATCAAAAATAATACTGTAATCCCAAATCGCTAAGTAATCTTCTCCACTTGAGAGACCAATGTTTTATGAAACTTTCTATTTTAAAATATGACAAACACCACAAAATGGATGCATATATATATGGGCCTTAAATAAATACAATACCTCGCAAGAAATCCTATTGATAGGGTATGCCAAAAGTTCGAGCATGTCAGTGAAGCCATTTTGGAGGGTCCTGTCCTCCAATGCGTCTAGTTGTGCCTGAGAAGTCTACAAAAACACCCTTAAATTAGTACACCACACAACAAATGTAACTTTTATGCCAAAAAAAAAAAACTAATTTAGCACATCTGTAGTCTTTTACTAAAATTTTATTTTAGTTTCTTCATTGCAGTGATAATAGTAATTTTTATTTTTATTTTTTTTTGCATTTTAAGTAAGTTGTAATATTATTCTTTTGTTAGTTAATGGCCGGCGAAGATTAAAAATAAAAAAAAAAATTAAAATGAGATTGAAGTGAAAATACAGAGACTAAATTGTGATATTGATGAAAGTTTAGGGGTGATAATGAGAGCGGAAAATTGTCACTATGACTCACATAACAAGTTCCGTCAACTTTTTGAGCGTCAAATATATAGAAAAATAATATTGTAATTTAACTGAAAATATAAAGAATTGACTGTCACAAATAAAAGTGAATGGATTAGAGAAGGATATTAGTGAAAGTACAAGGATGTAAATATAATTTGTACTTTTACCAAAATCTCACATTTTAAGTTGAAATATTACACTTCCATTTGTTTGATGAAAAATGAGTCAGACCCCCTTTGTGGAGGACCCGCACAAGCCCCTTACTGATCTATACTATTCATGATGTGTAGGGCCCACTCATGTATGTGTGGGATTCACATCATGAATGGTGTGGATCACAAAGGGGGTTGTGGGGTCCTCCACAAATGGAATCTCTATCATTGCTGTTGTTTGACGGTAACAAGGTTGACTAAATTTGCCATGTGAACCATACACTACCTCTTTACAATCCTTTCACTTTCACTAAAATATGACTCCGATCCTTCCACTTTCATCCATCTACTTTTTAATTTTCATCAGCTTAATTAATGATAAATGGATATCACAATGGCATTGCAGCTTAACTTAAAAATAAAGAGTTGACTGTCACAATTAAACACGAAGATAGACTAAGGCAAGATTTTAAAAAAAAACAGTTAAAATTCATACTGAAACAGGAGGAAGGCCAAGGCCAGGAATGGGAGGTGTGGCACGGTGCATGATGTCCTCAATCACATGAATGAGTGGTTTCACATCGACTTCACGGCCATCGGGAGCATGGGTTGCCTGAATTTGCTTCATCATCGCATTGTCGTCCGACGTTGCGAACATGCGTCTGTCTCCCCTAGCCCCCTGTACCCTGCCACCTGCTGGTACAATTGCAGTAGCCATGGATAGGAAATATGAAAGAAGATACAAAGAAGAGAGTGATAGTTTATGGTGGTTGTAGTGGTTTGAGTTTGGTGTCACTACCAGTCTTTTATAGTAAGTTAAAAAGGATAGTGATGGTATAAAGGCCCAGGTGAACAAGTACCTTGCTTCCAATCTGGTTTAAATTCAAAAGTCATCTCCAAGAGGATTAGATAGAATCAACAATTCTAGAATATACACAAAAAAAAATCAAATATAGAATTGGATATAGAAAAGATTCGACTTGTTTTTTTTCTAAAATCTAGACTGGAGGTGTTGTCTAGGCCTGTAGAATCTATTATGGATCTGTTTCAATTATTCAAATTGTTCATTTTGTAAAGTTTTACATGTGTATTATTTATGAAAAAATTTCAGTCAATTTAATAGGTGTAACATTTTCATTTTATCACTTTTGTCTCAAAAAAATAAATAGTCTATTTTTAAAAACACATTATTGTCTATTTTTTTAGAGACAAATACGATAAAATGAAGAGGTTGTAGTTATCGGATTAACTTAAATTGTTTCATGAATAATATACACACAACCTTATAAAATGAACGATTCGAACTACTAAAACCCAACCTAGACACTACTTTCAATCCAAAAATTTTGGACCAGAAATAAACCTAATCCATTCAAAAATATATAAATCTGTGGGGAGCCCGAAATGGGTTTGTCCCACATCGGTGTGAGAGGCATCCACAATCCACTTAATATGTTGACTAACTCCTCCTAACTAGCATTAGGCCTTTTCTAAATAAGAACAAAATCATGACACTCTGGCCAAAGCAGACAATATTGTTTTAGTAGGGTTGAGTTGGCAACTTCATTAAATGAGTTTGTTCTACATCGGTTTAAAAAGTATCCACAATATCGATAAGATTTTATAAGATTTATTGGCGGAGCTCCCCTTATCAAAAAATTTATCTATTCATTTGTTTTATGTATATGATTTTGTGTTTGATTTATGTGTTAATAAACTTATAGTTAGTGAATTTAGGGAAAGGCCGGGATAAGGTGGGTCCAACGAAGCATGTCTTTAAGGTTTCAAAGTAAAGGTTAGAGATTAGATCCATTATCCATTTCTTTTAAGGAGTGTTTGATTAATTTATTGGCGGAGCTCCACTTATCAAAAAAATTTATCTATTCATTTGTCTTATATATATGATTTTGTGTTTGATTTATGTGTTAATAACCTTATTGTTAGTGAATTTAGGGAAACGCTGGGACAAGGTGGGTCCAACGAAGCATTTCTTTAAGGTTTCAAAGTAAAGGTTAGAGATTCGATCCATTATCCATTTCTTTTATGGAGTGTTTGATTAATTTTAAAGCTTGTGGTACACACGTTGACTGTCAAGTTGATGCAAATTTGTAGGTTAATTTGAGGCAGATGTGTAGGTGACTTGATGATGCAGTTGAGATTTAAAAACATTATATATTTTTATTTTGTATTTTAGAATTATTATTTAACAATGAATATTCTAGTTTAGTATAAAATAGTATAGAATTATTATATTTTCTTTGTTAGCTTTTATTATTTTATGTTTCTTTGTTTTGCATATTTCTTTTTTACATATTCTTTACTAGCAAGAATATATCTTTTTCTTGATTAGAAAAAATTATTTTAATATAAATAAAAATGTAAGCCTTAAGATAATATAAAATTTTATATTTGATTAATAAAAATTGAGACTTTTCTCAATATTGTTCATTTTCATCGAGTACCTCTAATTGGGATTTTTTTCGATACACTTTCCCACATCACTGGATTTGTTATTCTTAGTTGATTCACAATTTATCCTATGTCAATTGTTATTCTTGGTTCTTCTTTTTCAATTACACTATGGTGTACTTTAAAAACATTTTTATTATAATGTAACTGAATACAATGAAGTAGAAGAAATTAATAATTATAACATAAAATCATTATTATAATTATACTCTCAAAAATAAGTGAGAGAAATTACAAATAAATATAATGAGAATGATTCACATACAAGCAAGGAGAATTAATTTTTTAATATTTTAGTGAAAAGCAAGAAATATGACAAACGGTCAGAAATCTTTTATAGTCAAGATTATTGTTTAATAAGGATAAATTACACTAACTTCTAATGAGAAACAAGTTGGACTTTACATTAATTGTCCATAGAAAGGAATCAAATAATTGTATATATATAAATTAATGTGTATTTTAGATTATTTTTAATGATATGGACCATTAACGATAAATTACACTAACTTAATGAAAACAAGTCGGACTTTACATTAACAATGATAACTTACACTAACATAATCAAAAAATTGTATGTAGATGACTTAATGTGTATCTTAGATTCATTTTTAATATGATATGGATCATTTAAAAAATAAATTTGCACCACATATTGATTATTATGTGCAATTTCGTTACACTTCTTTGTGCATGTTCCATTATTGTGGAATTTTTTTTGGTACATCGGAAAGTACCATTATTGTGAATTGAGAAGCCCAGTTTGGAGCTGGGTGCTTAGGCCATGGAGTGTGTGTAGTACCCATCAAAGGGAAAACCTTTAAGAACATGCCTAATGGACACTTATATTTGTGTGTGAAAATGTCTTATATGACAAAAAGTGATAAAAAAAATTGAAAAAAAAATCAATTTTTGGTATTAAAGCGTTTATTAGTTTAAAGAGTGAGTAGATGCTCTAATTATATAATTAAAGTATGTCTCAAAATATAGGATTTCCTAGTCTAATTTAAATTTCACTCCTTATAGTTTCAAATTAAACAATTTTATTTATATACTTTAAATTCAGTTTCAATTTGGTCGATTCGTTCAAATTTCTGTTTAATTTTTCTATGTGGCACCTTATAAAATTGATAAGTGTTCCAAAATTGTTATTTTAAATTTAGATAGAATGACTAAATTAAAACTATACTTAAATTATAGGGATTAAATCGTTCAATTTGAAGTTATATGGACCAAGTGCAATTTGGATAATTAACCCTAAAATGAATTGGAGGGGGAGGAAGTTTTTAATTAATCTTTCCTTAATTTTGACATAAGCAATCTTACGTTGGCAAGACTGACTGAGATCATAAGAGGTTTGTCTTCAACAAGATATCATTAATTAAGTTGACTACTCTTTTACTTTAACTAGCACTATTGCTTGCTTCCTTACTTGATACTTGAGTTTCTTATACTTGTGGTTTCAAGAATTTTATAAAGCAAATTCAGAAAAAGCAAAAACAAGAGAAAGGGCATTGCTATTATAGTTACTAGTTTTAATATGGATGATACTGTAAAGTTTCATAACTTTTTTTGTACCTAAATAAATATGGAAATTAATTAAATTTAATATGAATCATGACTTATGATTTAAAAAAAAAAAAAAGATTCATTAGAAGATTATAGTTTCTTCTAGACAAGGATTCTATACAATGATCATTTTTATGCAATAATTTTGTGGCGCTTTTTATCAAAATAAATCATATCGATAAAAAGTAAATAATTCAACAATTTGAATATGTGGGAACCACAAAAACTTACCGATTACTCACAAGTTAGATGAGCTTTAGTGATCTGTAAGTTTTTCTCTGTACACTTAAACGTATTATCCAAAAGTGAATATATATGCTTCAACCTATGACCTTTCTTTATTTATAAATTTAGGCCTTGTTTGTCATAATTTAAAAAAGTTAAAAAAGTCAAAAAATCGCTATCATATTTAAGTCACATCACCTCTCTACCACATCATTTCAAACCCAACTCATATTCAACCCATATTTCATAAAAAATTAAAAAATACATTTATTTAAACCATCTCAAATTACCTTTTAGTATTAAAAAAAAGAAAGAGTGCTAGTTACAAGTTACTTTGTTTTTTTTCATTATTATTTATCCTTAAAAAATAATAAAGAAAGACTACTAAGTTATTGTGGTCATTATCATCTATACTCTTTATGGCTTTAAATTATTCTAAAGTGTTTATTACGGTGGGGGACAGTAAGATAATTTATTAAAGCAAAAAAACTAGAAATCAAAGAGAAAAGGCCAAAATACATTATTTCTAAAGATAATACATGAAGTTAAAGGGCATGAGAGCATGGCTAAAATGTCTTATGTCTCAATGGTTCAGGGTAATTATTCAGTAATTTCGAAATATAGACATGTGATTTTTTATAGTATTGTGATTGGTAAAAAAAAGTGGGTAAATGAAATATTATGTTGGGTGATTGGAGAACATGAAAGACATATTAAATGATAATTAATTAAGAAGTCCAGACACGTAATAATTCAAGAACGTTCAATAATTTCCCATGGTTCAATAGTTGGAAAGCAAAAGGTTATAAAACAATATTGGCCCCAAACACGTTCTTCATTGCTTTGTACTACAAGCTAATTTTTTTTATATATATATATATATATATATTTTTTTTTTTTTTTTTTTTTTGAAAACACACTTTTTTTTCTCTCCACCGCATCTACTTTCTCCCTTAATGTCTTATTATTCTTATTATTATTATTTTTATTATTCTTACCAAAAA